CTCTCACACAAAACACACCGCTTTCTGCTGCGAGAAAAAAAAATGGACACTTCCTTATTTTTTTTCTTTTTTCCTGTTCTTTTTGTCTTTTTTTTTTTTTTTTTTGGCCAGTGAGAGGCAAACACGCTGCGAGAGCCTCCCCCCCCGCCTGTCACAGCGGGGCTGCTGCCACAGCACAGGGACCTGCCACCATCACCCAGACGTGGCTTATTTTTCCACCTAAGGGGCTACAAAAAGGCCCCAGGGCTCTCACACAAAACACACCGCTTTCTGCTGCGAGAAAAAAAAATGGACACTTCCTTATTTTTTTTCTTTTTTCCTGTTCTTTTTGTCTTTTTTTTTTTTTTTTTTTTAAAGGCTGGAGAACATCCTGGGAAGCGACATGATTCTTTTGGCCCACAAAATGCCCCGTGTCTCTGATCTGCTGCTCCCGGGCACTTCCGAGAACATCCTGGGAAGAGACATGATTCTTCTGGCCCACAAAATGCCCCATGTCTCTGATCTGCTGCTCCCGGGCACTTCCATGGGGCTCCGGGGGCCCCAGCAGAGCCCCCCCCCTGCCCTGGGGAGCAGGCAGGGTGCTGGGGCCGGGACAAAGAGCATCGTCCCCGATGCCGCCGAGGTTAATAACCCCCACACAAAAGGTCTTTTGAGCTTTCCCAATAAAACTCATTCTCCTGCTCTACTGAACGGGGGTCCGGCCTCCATCTCCCCCCCGCGGGGTCCTCGGGGGCTGGGGGGGGAGATGGAGGAAGGGGCAGGTTTTCGCCTTCGTTTCTGCTAATGTAAAAACCACACCAGAAAACAAGCTGGAGCAGGAAACGAGGGACAAAATCCCAACCCAGGCCCAGGACTGGCCGGTCGGACGTGCTTTCCCCCCCCTCCATCCTCTTTTTTCCTTCATTTGTTTGAGCCTTGCCCATGCCCAACACCCAAACTGCTTTGAACAGGGCACTTAAAAAGCATGTCCATCACTTACAGCGCTCTGGATGCAATTAAATTACGCTAACGGGATAAACCCGGATAATAAAGCACCGAGCAAGCGCCGTGACCGGTAGCATGACCCCTCCTGATGGCCACGAGACACAGGGGACACGTCTGAGCCCTGAAGATACTCCACCACCATCCCTTGCTTCCTCAGTGGTGGGGCTGAACAAGCCCCCTCGGGGCAGCATCCCATGGGAAAACTCCCCCCGGAGCAGGATCCGCCGCTCGGAGCCCCTCTCTTAGTGCTGCCCTTTGTTTCCTCTGGTGCTGCTGCTGCTTTTTCTTCTTTTTTCTTTTTTTTTTTTTTTTTAAATACTGCCTAATACAATTTTAATGAGGCCGGGGCGCCTGCCAACTGTCGGGAGAACCGCCGGAGAACCTCTGCTGAGCTGCCTGCTGGCATATGGCAGCAAAGCCAGGGCAGCCGGGCACCCCAGGGCATCCCCTGTGGCCCCCCAGCAGTGACAAGGGACACATTGGGGACCCCAGGGAGATGCAGCCTCCGTCCAGGGTGTTAGGTCTGTGCCTGGGGCTTATTTTTCCACCTAAGGGGCTACAGAAAGCCCCTGGGTTCCAGTGGTTCCCAGTCGCAGGGTAGTTTATCCCACCAGAGGAGAGCTCGCTGGGCTGCACGAGGTCACCCCATCCTCTGCCACAGCTCCTCTTGTCACCAAGCCCTATCCTGCTTGGGGACACAGGTGGCTGGAAGGATGGTGGCTGCCTGGCAGTGTTGGTCCCTGACCTCTGCTGAGGGTGAGGGGGAATATCCGTGTCAGGGGGACTTCCCAGACCAGCCTTGGCCATCTCCCAGCCTCTGCTACCACCACGAGGGACATGGACACCCCGGGACATCTGTCTGCACGTGTCAGTGACACCGAGCTGGGGTTTGTGGTGCGTGTGGATCCCTGGGGAAGCAGCCAGCCGTAAGGCAGCCCGTGTCCCCTCTGCTGCTGGGATGAAAACCTGCCAGCAGCCTCCTTGCAGTGAATCCCAAAAATTGCTTCACCAGGGACAAGGAGGGCTCAGGCCAGGCTGGAAGCTGAGATGCAGCTTGAAGGCAGAGGACAGCCCTGCTCCAAGGGGTGACCTGGTGGCACCAGCTCCGGACACCCTGTGACACAGCTGTGACCCAAGGGGGGGAGAGGAGGGGGCTGGACACAGCCCAAAGCATCCCCCAGCTGCTGCTCCTCGGGCTGGTGCCTCCACCTCCATCCCATTGTGCCACCCCGTCCCATCACCCGAGGACATCTCCTGCTGCTTTGGGACCGCTCCGCTGCCCTCCTGGGGGACAGAGGGATGAAACGACCCCTCACACCCCTCTAACCTCCACCACACATTGCTGTACCCCGCGTTTGCCATCTCTGCCCCCCCAAAAGCCCCTTGTGCTTGCCGGTGGCACTGTGCTGGTGTCCCCTGAAACCTCTCCTCCCCGCAGTGGCCCCGGCCACCAGCTCCGTGTCCCAGCCCGATTTCACCACCTCGACTAAAAACCCCAGGAACGCTCACAAACGAAGCCGAGCGGCAACAAAAAGCACCCAGGGAAGCATGAAAATCCGAGGGCGTTCCTGTGCCCGAGACAAGGGTCACTCCACGACCTGGGGCTCCTTTTCTCTTTCCTTTTCTTTTTTTTTTTCCAGAGCCAGGGTTTGTTTGAAGTCCCAGCGGGTGAGTCACGCAGCCCCTCCGGAGGGGACACGGCCGCGCTCCGGAAAGCCCTTGTCATGGATGCTGTGAGCTGGGGATTGGGAATCCTGCGGGAGAGGCGGTGGGAGGGCTGGGGGGGTGGTGAGGGGGGGTGACCTCAGAGGCGTTTAGTCACGGCAGCTCGTGAAGACGACGGGAAATGCAATATAGAGAGGGAAACCCAGCGCCTTCCTCACTGCTCCAGCGCACCCGGCACGCACGGATGCACTCGGGAGACAGGCTTTGGTCACTGCATCCCCGGGCTGGGGAGGGGGGGGACAACTGGTCACCCTTTGCCACCACAGTGACACGTGGGGACATCTCAGTCAGCATTTGGGGCTCTCCCGTGTCATCCCCCACCCTGGGCAGGCTGCCCACTCGGGGAGGGCAGACCCTGCCGCGCCAGGCAGTGCCAGCCATCCACGCAGCATTTTTCTTTTTTTTTCCCCTGCATAATTGCTATTTTTTGTTGTTGTTGTTGTTGTTGTCGAGCTGAAAAGCCGTTTCTCCCTCAGCCTCACCACCATCTGCCCTCTGCAGCAGGAGAAGGCAGATCCCAGCAGCTGTGGGGCTGGGCAGCTGCTCGGCCATCGTGGCCAGGTCCTAATGCTATGGGGCAGGGAAGGGGGGGCTTTTAGCATGAGGAGCAAAATGGCTTTGCCAGAAAAACCTGAATCTGCCTCGCTGGAGCTGGGGGGGGATGCATTCCCAGCCTGGTTGAGAGGCTGCGGGGTTGGTTCTGGTTGCAAATGGTCTGTCTGTCTGGCTGGCTGTGCAGGGCTGTGGGGCAAACACGGGCACCCAGCAGGTCTGGAGGAGGCATCCGGGAAAACAAAGCCCATCCAAGGGCTGGCAGGTTGGCCCCGGGGGGGTGGTTGTGCCGTCGGCACCCCCCATGGCATGGGCGGGTGGTTGTGGGGCAGCCCGGAGGTGGAGCAGGGGCTCTAACCAGTACGGCCAGTGCGGAACCAGTGGAGCCTGGATGGCTGGAGGGGGGAGATTTGGGGCTGAATCATGCCCCCAGGGCAGGGGATGAGCCTGGGGAAAGCCTTTGTGCCAGCCAAGCCCTGGGTGCACGCTGTCGTACCCTGTGCCCACGCTCCAGCCCTTCCCTTGTCCTGCTTCGGGGCGGGGGGGGGACACACAGGCGTTTCAGCTCCCTGCTCCGCCTGAAAACCATCCCCTGTGTCCCTCCCTCTTATCCTGCTTCCTCCAATTTTCTGTTTCTGCACATTTCCCCAGCAAACAGCTCATTTTCCCCCCCGCCGTCTCCCCCCTGCAAGCAGCTGGGGGGTGGGGGGGCTTCAAATCTGCCACCCCAGCCACGGTCGTCTTTATCCAAGCCCATTTCCACACGGGAAGTGTCCCTGTCCCCAAGGGGCAGTGGGCAGTCCCCATGGGCAGTGCAGGCAGCTCACAACTGCACCCAGGCTGTGTCCCTTTCCCAACGTCAGCCCTGCCATATGTGTCACCAGCAACACCCTCACCTAAATCCCGAGAAAT